CGGAAGCGGCGGCACCCAACAATTGTAACGCCTGAAAATTCCCGCGAAAACTATCCCGCGTGAATAAATGCTTAACTCATGTTTCAACTTATGATACCGCTTACCATATCTCTTAATTAACAGACACACTTATTAAATACAGAAATAAGTCGGTATGTGTTGTGGTCACACGCGTTTCATTCAAATCGGTAGCTCGCATTCACTTTTCATCCCCCGAAACTAAACAATCATGGCTGCGGCGTCACTCGAAAATACATCATGAATCAAATTCAACACTACTTCGTTAACATATATCGTTTCTCACAAATATGAATCAAATTTTTCAATTCATTTTTTAAATCAAAGTCATGTGAAAAATAATATAGTAAAAATATATCCTACAACTATATTTTTTATTGAAATTTGATTAATTCTACAAGTTTTCCGGTTACAAATGCGACATCTATGTTTTAAAGACACTTCTTTTTAAGGCGCTTGTTCATTAAGAGAAATCGAACCAAGTACTTACTGTTTAGCCAAAATTAATTAATTGTCCAAATATTTATAATTTATACGTAGATAAAATTCATATCAAACCTTAGTATGTGCCATAAAACAAATTTAGAACGTCAAGATGTTGTTATATGTAGATAATCCTTTCCTATATACTGTTCTATATACATACACCATGAATATATATTTGTATTACACAAAACTAAATGTTTTGGATAAAATGAAATAATATGACGAATAATTATATAAAGAATAGAAATAATTTATGTATATGTTAATTAAATAATAAAAAAATATATTTTCAAAGATAGACTTTACTGGTTTTGATTCTATTAAAAAATGTTTTCAAGAACTTAATATAAAAAACTGTTGTGCTATATTACAAAAAATATTAAAAAGTACAAAGCCTAAAAATATATGAAGGCACAATTTCTATACAAAAATAGCAATAAATATTTCAGACTTTTATTGAATTTTTGTATGGCTATTTACATCATTATATCATAGTTTATCAATATTGTATCATTGTAAGAATAGCGAATAGTAATTTTATATTATTTATAAAATCGTACTATATGCTCTAATCGCAATTAATTCAATATTTACATTATGTATTAGAAAAGCCAAGTCGTACATAAACTATGTACAGCAGCATGGCATATGTGTATAATTTGTAGTCAACCAATTTGCGCTTAAACAAATACATATTTAACATAACTTTTGTATACTTGCTTCGACTTCCTAAGTCTACATGTTTTTATGTGTTATTTCACTCAAATATAAGACACCATGTTATATTACTTTTGTTTTTGCTCATTATAGACAATATTACTAACTAAACCAAAAATTATATGCAGCCATTTATAAATATTACGCTATATATAGCAGTTCTCTGTTACTTTAAAATCTTACAATAATAAACTGTATAAAAAAGGAAAAAATTTTATAATCATATTTGTAGAAATCAAAGTATTTGAAAGAATGGAAGTTCTTAAATTGTCAAATAAATATTTAAGTGATTATTGCTAACACTTCAAGTGTTAACATGCTAATTGAATACATTATTCTATAAAAACCTATTGCAATTTACACAATTAAAATATTTATATCATAAAGATAAAGATGGTAGATAAAGATAAACATGAATGTTTTTACCTTTGTTATATGGTAATGAAGAACTTCTAAGATTTGTATGGTAAACTTTTCGGCAGATACATAAATTAAAGATTTTCAAAGATACTTCACCTTAGATTCTTTACCTTGTAACGTGTACGCGGAAGTAAAAATTTTATGACAAAATTTATTGCACACGTAACCAGTTATAGAAAGTTTACTACTTGGTTGCGTAGCAAACATTATTATCTTGAGTTAAGAGCAAAGAATGCAATGGTCAAACACCATTAGATGTTGTGGAACTATGAAGCGGTGGTCTCAATAGATCATGATATTGTAGTAAAGCTTCCCGTAAAGATCTTGATACTTGACCTGACGCTGTAGCTATTGTACATTCTACTAGACAAGGATATAGTCCAATCAGTTGTTCCCAAACTGATCTTTCAACTAAAAATAAAATTTGTATTCCATTGTCTTTCTTTGCATAACGTTGTTTATAAATAAAACATAGGAAGTTATGTATGTTGTTATAAAAATTAAAATCAAATATATCAATTAACAAAGATTACCTTTGTTAGGTGGTGCTTTTTTCAGAGAAACCACAAGTGTTGCAACAGCTTTCAAAACAAAAGAAATTTCTGATAATCTGTACCTAGAAAAGGTTTATATAATAAGTACTTAAAAATTAATATATGTATATATTACATTTATCTCCAATGGAATTGTACAATGTATTTTACTAATATAATAAAATGAAATCAAGTGAAAGAAGAGCTAAAAAAATTTTGTTTGAACAAAACCATTACCTAGGTAGCGGACATTTTCCACTTCGCCTCTCATTTTCAATATATCGTCGTAAAACTTCTTGAAACCTATGAAGGAGCGCAGTGACTGCTAACCGTCCAGCAACACCTCCTTCATCGTTTTCAGGACTTTTGGTTGTGTCATGATCTGATTCATTATTTAGTCCATCCAATAGAGAAAACTGAAGTAATGTTTCAAAACACGTTTTTGCGAATTCCTCTCTTAACTTAGTTTCGCCGCTATTTTCTACAATAATAAAAAGTAATTTTACAGCAATGAAAAATAATTTTATATGTAAAATTTTTCCTTCAATGAACATAAAAGAGATTTACCAATATTTGTTGTAGTCGCTGAGTGTATGGAGCCTTTGTTTAATAACATAACTACTCGCAAAATAAACTGATGAGGTATGTATTGAGAATGTGGTAAAACCTCATCTCGTAAAAGTTCCATCACTTGACAATCTACAGCTTCATCCGCTTGAATTTCTTCGACACCTCGTTCTATATTTAATATACTATAGTAGAACACCAAAATGTTAATTTTAATAATCAATGGTTACAAAACAACAAAATACAAGTTTATTGCTATGCTATATCGAACCACCTTTTCGGAAATAGGAAATCATCTAATGTATTCGCTAGTTCCGGCCACATATTTTGAAATTGTTCTGGATATTTCCTGGCTAAAGGTAAGCCAGTATGTAAAACGGCAAGCAAACTAGTAACAGCCAATTTCCAAGTTGTTGGTGACGGGCAAGCATACTTCATTGACAAAGGTACATGCAATGCTTCTATAATATGCTTTAAAACTTGTCCATCTATAACTGCCATTTCAGGTGCTGTCTTTTGATATAATGTTACAACCATTGATAAAGCTTTCTCTCCAAAAGGAACATAATTCATAGTCACCCAATCAGCCTAAATAAATAAAAGAGTTAAATAATATTTCATTAAAAATAATGTCATGGTTAAATACAAAAACTAAAAAATACGTACAGATACGCCTCTAATTTGAGAGATGTGTTTCGTTGGGATTTTACCATAGGTGGGAGCTTCACAAGCCAGCTTTGAAAAACTCAAAAGCTGAAGAAATATTAAAACAATCATTGTTCGCAAATTATCGGGTCCATTTAATGCTTCCTATTAAAAGAAAAATTAAATTAATGTTGAATAGAGAAAGAATGATTTTAATAATGAAATAAATTACATACTTTTTGTAAAAGCTCCATTGAATGAAGTACACCATCTTGTAAATGAGTGAGAACTACATCTGGCATTGTAGGCAAAATATATGGCGTTGATTCACCATGTACTGGAACTGCAACTGCATTTTTTAACACAATGCAAAGTTTTTGCAAATCTGGGCCAGTGAATCTGAGAAATAAACAAAAAAAGGATATACGCTTTCTTTTTTAAAATAAAAATTTAATTACATGAAAAAATTATTAAGTATAAATATACTTGTTTCTGATGTGTTGGAAAACAGCTGGAAATATATGAACCAATGCTGTTAAAAATGCTTGTGATGGTACATAAGGTTCCGTTTCCCCTTCTTGAGGGGGTGTTGTACTTTCCATTCCAATATTCAACCATACACGCCATGCAACGATCCATAATGCTTCGGAATCATTTGACTGAATCACTTCGTTATTGTCACTTCCTTTTTGGAGATATAAAATCTCTTGAAATGATTTTAAAGCTGCCAATGATACCTAACAATTATAAATACAAAATTTAAAAAAGTAATTTTTTATAATTACATATATTGTATACATACACACCTCGTTATTTTTACTAAGTGCAGAATTTTCTATAAATTCTAATAAAAGAGACCAAGCTCTAGGAAAATCGCCCAACATTTGTAACAACTGCCGCTTGGTATTAAATACTCTGCCAACACCACTCAAAGTCAATACCTATAGAATAATAATTAAACAGATTAATTTTATTAATACATATATTAGTAATATATTAATGTAAGTATTAAATAAATATATATTACCTGCGTTTCCGCCCACTGTTTCTGTGCTGTATTTCTGCTGTGATGAATAAGTATGTTTCCACTAGTATCTACCTTCTCACTACTGGCGGAGTTAGATAAACTTCTTACTTTATCTAGCAATGGAAAAAGAACCTGCCAAAGTACAGCTTGCCATGTCGGCTGATGTAACAAACTACCATGTGCAGATATTGTAGAAAACAGAGTTTGACTAGCTGATTTGCGCACGGCGGGCCGAGGATCCACACATAAGTCACCTTACAAATATAAATGCAATAGTAATATTTCAGAAATGTTCTATCTCCTATATAAAGTTTTATAATAAAATATATTACCTAATCTTGCATATAAACACATCCAAAGTTTGTCAAAAGGTGGCATATTTGTTGTACCAGGAAAGTCTGGAAACACCGACGATGAATCTCCCTTCAGAGATACACAAAGCTTCTCTTGGTTTTGATAAAAATAATCGCTTATATTCCACTGAAAAGACAATATATAAATATAAATATATTAAACTGACTATATTTTATAAGACCTATAAAATCTACTGAATTGACCTATCAATCTATTTTTTATGTGATATAAAAAAGTATTGTAATAATACATCTAAAATAAACTTGATTTGCCTGATTGTCTTGATTTTAATTTTTTTCATTCAAGACATTTGCACTTCAATTTTCACAATTTTAAATGCTCCTAATTTCTTCTACAACTTAATGTATGTTCATCTTTTAATTATGAGTTCCTGCTCTGATGTACTTATAAGGAATTCCATAATCTGCAATCGAAAGTTTCAACCAAAAGTTCCGAATTCGCGTAACATGTTAGGTACCAGGTCCTTCTCAAATCAACACCTTGCCACACTTTTATGAGCCTGAGTTATGCTGAGAATTTTGAGCCAAACCTGAATACCACGAGTCAGGCTCGTGGTCTAATTTCATGTCAAACGTGAATATCACGAGTCTCACTCGTAGCTTAATCTCAGGCCAGGTATGAATGTATCGAAAGGTGTCTTTTTTCTAAACACGGGCGCGGCTATCTACGTACTCAGTCGCACGATCTCATGTTTCAAGTTACGACACTCTGTCTTCGTCGCTTCGGCTCTTTTCCTGACCATTCGGGCGCAACGTTTGGGCCCAGATTCTTCCGAGTTAAATGGTATGGCAAGGGGTTAAGAAAAGAAAAAAAAAACATATAACAATACTAAGATTAAGAATAAAACGAACGTATAAAACATTTTTGGTCGTTCATTCTTACCATTAATCCGACAGCAGTTAATGAAATATTTAATTCTTGTGTCTGAGAACCGAATTTTGCGGCTGTGTCAACACAAAGTGGAAGACATCGCCAAGGCATTACTGGTAGGAAATCAGTTACTACCAATTGTAAACATTGAAATGCTATACGAACTAAAGCTTCTCTGTAAAATACATTAATATACAATTAAAATAAATAATACTTTTTTATTAGATTGGGCTTTTATTACTATATGAGGATATTTACCCGTGATGATCAGATACTGCTCCAATAATACCAAGTACCAAAGGCCAGCCATGATATAGTGTTTCTCCTGCTCCATGTAACACTTGTAAAACGCACTCTAGCTGTCGTTGTCTTACATCTCCATGGCGAACTGATGATAATTCTGATAATGGTCCTAAAAGTAAAGTCTGCAATTTCTGTAATGAAAAAAAAATAAATTACATTTTCAATATTCAATTTATTTTCTTTTAATCAAAAAGTTTAACATACTTGATTATCGCGCAAAGGTTGTGGATATTTGTGCTGAAGTGCCATTTTTACAAGATATGTAATAGCTTCGACCCCCCATTCTCGCATACGAATATGCGGATGTTGACAAACTTCCAGCAAGTGATTTGTTAATGGTCTCCATAAAACTTCTACCCGTGGTAAGTTTACCAAACCAGTTTCTAAAAGTTTAGCCACAGCAAACAGGGAGGGTTCCTAACAGAGATGTTGCAATGTGACTGCACTTTATATTTAAGACTTAAATGTTAAAGCTCTGACGCTTTCAATTGAAAATCAAATTCACACTCACTCTATTAGAGTAAGCTAATTCCATAGCTTCGTGGCTCAACTTGCAAAGTGCGTCTATCAAGTGATGTAAAGCTACATCATCAAGATGTTGACTACTTTCGAATAGCCTGCTAAGCATGGCGCTAAGTACAGGCAAATCTGCCATAACTGCGTTTGTAAGTACTGCATTTGGATCGGCAGCGGTTCTTCCTGCTTTTAAGGATCCTCCAGTAGAAGGCTTCAAACCAAGTATCCAGACAAGATGTTGTAGTGTTGTAAGTACCAAATGCCATGCACCACCAAGTATGCTTCCATGGCAATGTGCAAGTGATAATAATGCACGCATACATTGTAAATTTTTTGCCGTTAACATAACTGGACCTTGATGTGCACCTACATTGGCGCAAATAGTTTTTCATTTTATTCAGCTATAAGCAGTTTCATTCAGCAATTTCAAATCATTGTTACACACCAACTGGTAGAGACGCAGTGGGTAGAGGAGTACCAACAGCTACAACCTGTTGTCTATAATCTGGTTCACCAATAGTCACATTGTACTGAGTGGATTCTTGTTGTCTTGCACTCGGTATACCTTGAGGAGCATTGTATAACACAGTCAATGCGTAATGAGGAGGCAATGATGCTTTACATATTGCAGTAATGAAAGCGTCACGCGGAGTCTGCAACTCTAATTGTCCACACAGCGATGCAAAAGTTTGAATAGCTTTTAACACATTTTCTGTTGCAGATTCATCGGTGCTAGGAATTCCAGAGAAAAAAAAGATTTTTATACACAAAAAATAAATTTTAATACTATATGGGTAAAATAATCAATAGCTTAATCTTTCTTACCTTGCATCTATAAGAGGACTTAATGCTGCTAGCAGGCCACACCAACTAGAATTAATGAGCTGAGTATGAAGTTTCCGTTCAAATTCATTAGGTTTGTACAATTGATTCCCAGTTACAACTTCATTAGTACCATTGATTGCGAGAGCTATGGATCGTATAATATCTAATAAGCATGCATATGCTACACTTATTCCATAACCGATAGGAATCTGTGGCGGTTCGACCTTATCAAGCATGTCCAGACTAAAAGTTAATTAAATCACTTGTATTAATTTTTTACAAAAGAATTATGCTATAAACAATAAAAAAGGTTCTAGTATTTACTAGGTTGATTTAGCTTGACCACTTGTAAATGTTGCAACTACCGGCAACCAAATGCCGCGTGAATAAAAACCAGGTTGAGGTGAAACACCAGGACCTATAGGCATTCCCGTAAATAACGGAGAAGCCGTACTTTGTGGAATCGTTGTACTTGTCGCTAATATTAAAAAGATATTGACATTATTAATATTTTATTGCTATTATAGTAAATTTTTTAAAACTTACTTATATTGGTTTGGTTCATCATCTGGGGATTAACAAAAAGACTATGTACATAGGCACCTAAACTATTGACAATATCTTGAAAAATGTTGGTTGCATGAGGTTTTAAGTCATAACATTCACAGAAATTTGTAAGAAGATCAGATTGTACTGTCATTTTATGTAAAACTTCTAAAGCTAAGGCTCTTTGCCATGTTGGTTTATCAGGATCCAAAAATTTAACAATTAGGGACAAAAATATCTCACATTCTGTCACCTGAAAAATTCAAGGCTGTATTATAATATTTTTATTAAGTTTAAAAGTTTTTGAAGTTTATAGAATATATACCAAAAGAGAATGATATTTTTGTATCAAAATAGAAACAACTCGAAGGAGCCGCATGCTAATAGGAAAATAAGGTTTATCTAAAGGTGTAGCTTGTTGTAGTGATGCCGGTACCGAATTGCGATATTTGATATTAGGGGAAAATAATTTAATTACAAGGGCACACACTCTCTCCTTTAGTAGAAAGCTAAATTCTGGATGCTGAAAAAAACGAAAAATTAAATAATTATAATTTATATGTGAACTCATCACTTATGATTAAATACCTTAAAAAATACTGATGAAAAATTTGTTAGAACAGATTCTAGCAATTCTAGTCCAAAGGTACGTGTCATTTCTGTAATCCCAATTAACCAGTAAGGTTGATCTGCATTTACTAATTGTACTAAGTCCTAAAAAAATTTTATTCAGTAATTAAATTTTATTAAACAATGTAATAACTAATATAAATAAACTTACTTGAAACATTAAATATGCATCAGCAGCACATGGTCCTAAACTTTTAGGTGCCTGATTAGTAGGAATTTTTAATTCCTCCAAATTTATTTCATCTGAATCTTCTTGATCAGGACTTTGTTCATCTTCTGCAACTACGCGCTCAAATACTAATGACACTAACTGTCTTACTGTGGCTCCTGCTGTATTAATTGTTGTGGAATCTTTCGTAAAATGTAAGCGAAAACACAAAACTAAATTCTGAAAATAACATTATTTTTTTCAAATTACTCAAGATGTTAATGACATAAATTTTTTATTCTATAAGTAATATAAATTATTACTCTTGCAAGTGTTTCTCCATGAACCACAGTGTTGCTAGTTAGTAAAAGAGTTACAGTTTGTAAAACTTTAACTTCTTCCGTTCCAGATTCCATTAACATCCATAACGTATCTGTGATATAACGGGCACCTTTTTGATCAATAGCTTGTTGTGTAATTAATTTTTGCATCATAGTTAAACAAAACTAAAATAAGTAATATGACAGAAAATTATTATATTGTTTAAATACAAAATATTATATATTTAAAAAATAAAATACTAAAGAATATATCTGTTTCTTACATACCTTTATAATTTTTACATCTTTACTCTCACAACCTTGAACCAAAGGATATAAGATTTGATTAACGATATAATAAATTGGAGCACCCGAAGTATTCGAAGCTGTCCTTATTTTTGCAATTCCTTCTTCGCACGACTGTAATAAAATGCACTATTCAAACATTGTTTCCAATAATTTTGTACTAATCTTCATGGGAAAAAATAAAGCACTTTAAATTAAAAAACTAACCTAACTCTATTTAATATTACATAATAACGTGTAATATATTACTAAATATTAAAGTCAATAATAACAACATACTTCCTTGATTTGTGGATATTTCTTCTTCGTCTCAGAGGCGAGAACTTTCAAGTCAGTTTGTAACGATTCCAAAAATTTTGAAGTATTTTCCGAATTAGTTCCGATAGCTGAACTCGCCATCGCGTATCAAATTCTCTTTTTTATAACGTTATCATAAAAATCTATATCATCGTAAGTTATAAACAGTTTCTCGAGGCATGCATATTGCCATATGAATATTCGTATCTATCTAACAGTAGGTGAGTTGGCACATCCCATACCGATTATCAGAAATGACAACGGGCAGGTGACAATTTAGTGGGTTTGTCTTTACGCATTTTTAACCTTACGTCATTTCAACGATTCTATCAATCACTTAGAGCTTTTAGCAGAATTTCGATTAAACTTCCTTAAAAACCGTGTATTTTTACGATTATTAACTATTCGCATCTTAATCGTAACACGTTCATGTAAATAATAAACTGTAGCTTGCAATGGCGACAATAACTCGTATGTATATGTATTGCAATTTACCATCGACCTCGAATCAATTTATAAACTAGGGTGGAAGCTCGTACTATAATCAAACGACATACCATTTGAGATTACGCTTATACATTTTTATAAATTTTAGGTTATGTTATATACTTTAATTAGCCATACATCGTTATAACTTAAATTAAAATAAAATGACTTTATCTATATTAATTTCTAGAATATTGTATAAGATCTTAAAATATGAACTTGTAAAAGTTTTTTCGATGAGCCACTACGTGGTGCTGAACAACGTTTTTGACATGTCTTTGCCATTATAGATCCATGGTTCTTGTTACCAATGAATAGTGTTACCCGGCACCCATTCTTACGAATTTATAATCTAAGGTTTCCAGTCGTTTCTTGAGCGTAGCGTGTTTTAACTCATTGAGAGAATTAACTATTTCCTATAAGAGTTTAAAATATTGTAAAGAAAAGTGTCGCGAGAAATCATCTCCAATACTCAGAGGAACGAAGTTCCTTACAAACTCGCGTACAAACTTCGTAATCAACCCGACCTAAAAAACGTGACCAACTTGTCGAGAATGACGGCAATAACGGCAAGCGGCGATGGACGAAGCGCCCATGGACAGGCCTATAAAGATAAAAGTAAACCAACAGATATTCGTAGCAGCAATATCAATGCTGCGAAAGGTGAATAAATAATGCTACTGATATATTTTTGAAGTATTTCAATTCTTATTAATTATTTCTTAGGCCAACAAAAATCTTACCTTATATAGTCATGTTCAATGCACCGTAACCGAATTATTTTGTCATCGTTAATCTGAAGAAAAAGTTAAAATTTATCACTATATAGCTTACAGAGTGCAGTTTTAATTATTTAAAAACACTTTAAATATACCTAAGTAAAATTGTAGGCTATGGATGTAGGTCCAATTTTACATTTTATTAACATAAAATATCCTTTGTTTCGCCCATTTTTGTGAATGGGAGTTTCATATTAATATCAATATTTCAGCTGTCAGTGATGCAATTCGTACCAGTCTTGGTCCTAGAGGAATGGATAAAATGGTAAAATTCATACATTAGAATTAAGTTTATTGACTTAATTTGTTTATACATGATTGAAGTATTTCATTTTGTATGTTAAGATTCAAGCTGGGAACGGAGAAGTTACAATTACAAATGATGGTGCAACAATCTTAAAAGAAATGAATGTTGTACATCCTGCAGCAAAAATGGTAATTTTTTTATTAATATCGGAAGCATTAAGAATTTTCTAAATAATTTTTATGCGTTTTTCATTTGTTTTGATGTTTTCAGTTAGTTGAATTATCAAAGGCACAAGATATTGAAGCTGGAGATGGTACTACAAGTGTTGTTGTTATGGCTGGTTCTCTTCTAGAAGCTGCAGAGCGTTTGTTGCAAAAGGGAATACATCCTACTTTAATCAGCGATGCTTTCCAAAAAGCTGCAGTTAAAGCTGTAGAAATATTGACAAATATGTCTATTTCTGTTGATTTAAAAGACAAACAATCACTGATTAGAGCTGCAGCAACCTCCTTAAACTCAAAGGTATATCTTAAGATGTGTATATTAATTATAAACTGTAATTCAAATACTATTATGAAATTGAAATTATGCAATTCTTTTCTTTTAAGGTTGTCTTTCAACAATCAAGCCTTTTAGCACCACTTGCTGTAGATGCAGTATTAAAAGTTACCGAAGAAGGGAAAGAAATTGCTGTAGATCTTAATGTAAGAAAATCAGTATACAAGTTAAATTACTACAGTAAATGTATTAAGTTTATATCTTAATAACACTATTACATTTATAGAACATAAAAGTAATCAAGAAGTTAGGAGGTACAGTTGAAGACACCGAACTTGTAGAAGGATTAATATTTACACAAAAATCTTGTAATGTTAATGGACCGAAACGTATTGAAAAAGCAAAAATAGGTTTAATTCAATTCTGCATTTCTCCACCTAAAACGGACGTAAGTAATTTGAAATAAAGAAATATGTACATGAATTTAAGAAGCTTTATACATAAGTATAAGTAAAATTCTTTTATTGCTTCAGATGGATCATAATGTAATCGTATCCGATTACGCTGCAATGGATCGTGTTTTGAAGGAAGAAAGAACTTACATATTAAATATCGTGAAGCAAATTAAAAAAGCTGGTTGCAATGTACTCTTAGTACAGAAATCCATTCTTCGCGACGCTGTCAGTGATTTAGCTATACATTTTTTAGATAAAATCAAAGTTATGGTGATTAAAGACATTGAACGTGAGGATATTTCATTCGTATGTAAAACGTTAGGTTGTAGACCAATCGCGTCATTAGATCATTTTGTCGCTGATAATCTTGTTAATGCAGAATTATGTGAAGAAGTACAGACTGGAAGCTCTAAGTTTGTTAAGGTTAATGGATTAAAACATGACTATTTTTAAAAATACTAATGTCTTCTTTTATAAATATTTATTTATTTCTTTTTGTTACAGATCACTAAAATACAAAATCCTGGACCAACAGTGACAGTTCTTGTACGAGGTAGTAATAAATTGGTCTTAGAAGAAGCGGAACGTTCATTGCACGACGCATTATGTGTAGTACGCTGTTTAGTGAAACAAAAAGCTCTAATTGCTGGAGGAGGAGCACCTGAGATAGAGCTTGCACTAAAATTAGGAGCATATGCACAAACTTTATCGGGCGTTGATGCTTATTGTATTAAAGCTTTTGCAAATGCATTCGAGGTAAGTTATATCATGTTTATAATTTGTATTTGCTACTAAATATACGTGCAAACTTTTAACATATTTGTCAAATATATGTTTGTGAATATTATAGACAATTCCGTCGACCCTAGCGGAAAATGCCGGATTGAATCCTATTGCAACTGTAACGGAACTTCGAAACCGACACGCTAAGGGTGAACATACTACTGGTATTAATGTGCGAAAAGGTTCAATTACTAATATCTTGGAAGAAAATGTGATTCAACCACTTTTAGTTTCTATAAGCGCCATTACACTAGCTTCGGAAACTGTCCGCAGCATATTAAAGATTGATGATATCGTGAATACAAACCAGTAATTTATAGAGAATATGAATTTTACATCTAAATTGCACTGCAAATATTTTCTCCATTAAGAAATGCTGCTGAAACTATGTTGACTTTATAATCTACAATTTGTTAAATTAATGAAATCAAATTGCTTATTAACGTTCTCAATTTCTTTTATTTCTTTCAAAATAAAGTCAATCTGCTTCTAAAAAAAACTGTTCTATATTGCTCTCCTTAATATAGTGCTTACTAGAAAATATATGAAATTATGACGACTAGAAATAATTTCTTTGAAGATCTGAAAATCAATGATGAAAAAAAGATTACAATGTTTTGAACAGGACATATGGAAGTATAAAAATTAAGTTTTATTATCCATTCTTACAGGGTGTATAAATCAAAATTCTTTTATATGGTGTAAAAAAACAAGTATAGTTCCCATATATATAGCTATTTTACAATAATATTAAACATATAATTCCGCAATTATTCTAAAAAAAGACTATATTATGCTTTTTTTGTACATTAAATATCATGTTACTTCTTTATTAATGAACCGTGTGTTATCCGTCCTTCGAATATTAATATATTGATAATTTAAATAATTTTTAAACATTCTCTAAAATCTTTTTATTATAAAATATATATTCAAATATTAACATTTAAATGCAAAAATTAGATGATTTTACATATTGCACAATAAATTAAAACATTTTAAAACATATACAAACATTTGATCTTAATAATGTTAAATACAATAGTTAAAAAAGTTGTTTGAACATTCATATATCTTTTTCACCTAAAGAACGGACCATGGTTTATTGGGATATATTACCCAATACAACAATAACAATCTACAACCATATTTTATAAAGAAATAGTGAAATACTTTACAGCTTTTGCTATATTGGACAGAAAAGGATTTTATACCCTAAAGTAAAAATCATGATAAAAATAAGATACAGTCAAGTAAGTGTAAGACCAAATCTCTGGCCTATCTCAGGAGAGTGGGAAGTTGCAACTGCGAGCAAAAGTGGTATATCTGCTGCATCGAGATCGAGAGCGTGTGTCAAACTTGCAACATTGGCATCGCATACTTCTGTTGCTAATAACATCTCAGCCAATGTTTCACTTTTTAGCCACATTTCTCTTAGTTTTGCTTCCAATATGCCTATACACTATAATTTAAGGAAAAATAGTAAAAGATGAATAGAGTACACATCGTGTTACAGCATCATCTTTACGAGTAAAGCATTTTTTATATAAACTAATAATCGAAGTCAAACAATTTCTTACTTGTGAAGCTGAATGATATTTCCGCCATAAATAAGCAAAGCCTTCCAGCATATTGGCAACGAGCCTTGACATCCCAACTGGTAACGGTGCAGTATGTGAAGGCATATTATTGGATATGATTCCAACATGCCAAGTATCTAAATCCGCTAAAATACAAAGTGATTCGGCAATTGGTTGATCAATAGTCGGAAAACGTACACTGGCAAGACATTCTTCACGTATGCAGTACCACAATTCTTTATCTATTTCATAGTCATTCCTATTTGCTTCTTGCTGGACAACTTTATTTCTTCTCCTCTTTTTCTTCTTTGGCAAACCTTGTAGAACTAAACCCCATGTATAGGATGGTTCAGAATTATTTAATCCCTGTGACTCTGTGGGTTTTATTGTGTTTTGTAAGAGTGTCTTTGTAAAGCCTGTGTCCTGGTGTGAACCAGTCTTCTTCATTTTTTTTGTCCTGTAATTACAAATTTTTGATCTTCAGTTAATCTCATTTACTGCAATGTAAATGCTTATTGTAGTCCATGACACAAACCGCGGCATTGGCAATTCGACGACACTGTTAGCTTCCATCAAAGCTTCTAGACTGTTTGATCTAGATAATCCAACACTTCCATCACCCACGGTATTACCGCAAGTACGTAACACTTCTGTTGCGTTAGTAGGGGTTTCTAGAACTTGTTTGCAGCTATCATAATTTTGTGGAGGTACGTAACCTTGCCCATTACACCTTTGACAAAATCCCAGAGGTCTTGATACTGCTCCTGGTGGATGAATACTCTTGGATGATTCAGGGAAGTTCCTTTGAATAATTTTTCTCAATACATCTTCTGGCAACTGTGCAGACGTGCTCGGTACTCGTGTGAACATATATGAACACTGACAATTGTATCCAAGTCGCGGTCGTGATAATGTTTTCACAGATTTTTCTTCATCACCTAGAGTGAAGAAAACATGGGAATTTTTCATCTCGTTATCTGTACTTTGATCAGTTTCAAATTCTGGTCTGCTAGAGTATAATTTCAATGTATCAACACATGTATCGTCAAAATCTTGAAAAACATCTATCTTAGAATTCGTATATGCTTCATCCAAGTCGTTATCTTCCACCTTCTTTTCAAAATTACGTAGCGAAAATTCAGGACACTGTTGCATACCAGTCTTGCTCAAGTCGACATCTTGTGGTGCAATTTCGCTCACTACTATTTTAACTTTGCTTGATGTACAAGTTCTTTCGTTGACGGTGCTCTTTTCATAGCCGTCATCATCGCGAGGAAGTTTCTTCGAAATGAATTTCGTGTCTGTTTCAGGTTCAAACGTTTTCAGCATAAATGAATCAAGATTTGATTCCATCGTGATGCTACGTTTAAGAGAGCTAATAGATCCTTCTACTCTTAATCTTCCCTCATTGTATTCAGGATATGAGCGTTGCATAATAGCGTTATCATCTTCTGCATCATACGAAAGCTCTTGTACGGCAATTTTTTTTCGAGCAGATGTGCATAACACACGTCGGGAAATCATAGACTCTCGATCGTTAGTTGTTGCTTTCGTAGTGAATAAATGTGGGCGTTTTATTCTCGCTTGTTCTAAAAGACTTGCAGCTTCTTGAATGTCTTCTTCAGTAACGTTACAATATTCTTGTCGTTTCTGTACTACTCCACTACGGATGAAGTACGACAAGAAGGATAAAACAGAGTTAATCAAATCGACCTTTTGAGGATCGCCTGCAACGACTGTATGCGCTACCCTGATGGGATTACTTAGTGCACCATATAAATCACCTAATTGAACCCATAGTGGATTACAAGGATACCAGGTGCCTAATTTTTCCATCTAAAAATAAATATGTAATTGATGTATTTTATATAATTCAATTTAAAAAAAAGGCCCAAATTGCTTACCAATTGTCGATCATGGATTGGCAGTGTAGTATATATCCAACCAAGATGATATGTTAGAACAGCAGTGACGACAGTACTTAAAAAACTAAAATATATAAATGTTAATTTAGATTCGAAAGTGTGATATCTTTCCTTGAAATACTTACAAGTTGCTCGATTTTGTATCGATATTATCCAACAATTGACACATTTGTTCTAAACTACGATGCAGCGCACTTATCTTATGCTCTACTTTCACTGAATTAAGTAGCACATCATGCCATAGCAAGGGTGTGCGAGAGTTTAAATCCGCATCAATATTTGTAAGTAAACGCAATAACGAAACAATGAATTGCGAAGATCTATAAAGCCGTTCAGGAAGCTGCATTCCTTTATTTTGAGCACTGATACTAGCCGATTCAATACAGAAATATCGTAAACGATCCAACATTCCTTCCAATAGAGCCATGTGCTCTAACAGACAGGTCTCTATTCTTCTGTAATGTAAACCAGAGAAATCCAAGATGAATGAAATTAATAATTAAAACATTCATTATAATAATCTCTAACTAAATTTCAACCTCTCATGGCCTTCGGCTAGTTGGACCAACATCGTTAATCCGAGTCTCGTTTTATGACGTTTAGTATGAATCTCTTTATTATCATTTCCATTCTCGGTCCAGTACTGCATTCCAAATGTATCATCAGAATCTAATCGGGCTAAAGAAGTGGAAGCAGCTCTTAACCACCTTCGACGTAAACTCGAAAGGCTACCGATACCAGAGGATCCATTGCTCTCCAACGACTGTGAACCTGAATTAATATCGTATTACATTCCGAACAATAAACACCTTTCGATGATGGATCGCTTCTACTTCGGCTCAAATCGATATATTTGGCTTGAATTGAACTTACTCCCTGTCGGTGGTGGTATGTCTATATTCCACCCACTACCGGTGCTAGAGCAAGTAGAATTTTTTCTGACACCAGTATTTAATTCGGATCCTGATAGATTTCCAGAACTTGGTCGGGATACTGGAAAATGAAGTTTTTACATATGTACATCAAATCCTAGTTTCAATTGGATCGAATTTAATCCACAGTGATATTAGTTCTCAGTGATATTAGTTTGCTACCTACAAAGCGTTCGCATACTGGGGTTAGAATCCAAGTTCACGGAACGACCCAATCCTTCGTCCGAGACTTTCTCGCTGAAACACGATTGAGTAATAAATCAAATATTCGTATCAATATATCAATCGTAACATGAAATCGATAACTGTCTTATTACGAACGCATATGCTTACGTCTGCTGTTTGCATATGTTGTGTTCTGTAGCAGGGAAGACTTTTGTGCACATGATGCAAGATGATGAATTCATTGAATGGATCTTAAAGATAAACATAAAAATTAAAGTACTTAAAATGTTGATGGCGCACATTTTATATTTTTAATATTAATATATTATTTTACCTTAAATGATGATCCTCTGTACGTCATCGCCACAGTACCGAATACCATTTCGCTCAATAAGCTTACGTCGTCTTCGGCCATTCTTTCTTGCTAGAAATTTACAACTATGCATATTAAGCGTATAATACATCATATATTTAATTATAAAGTATTTAAAACCTGACTAAAAATTGTGTTTCTCTTTTTCAATTATTATTTGTTACCTCGAACATCGAATTGCCGGTATTCTTTTTAAGATTAATCGTGGCCGTTTTATTTTTACACCATCTTTTCTCCAAGGAAAGAGAATCAAAAAGGAGTTTTCTCCCGCGCCATTCACACTCTCGGAATAGTAAGATCCGAACTTGACCTGCCCCAATGTATAACGCGGAGTTTCTGCAAATATTCAAAATCACACGATAATGTGTATTTGACACAATAATGTAAATAAGTAGAGAATTAGTTTATAATTCATAAAAGAGATATGGTAACAAACAGTACAAAAATAATATATTTTTATATCGAATTATAAGTATAGTTAAACAATATTATTGCTTCATATATGACTATACATTTAAGAAATTGGAGAATGACTTAACAAACAATATCTTAATCTTAACTTGTGATCTTCTAATATTATACTGAAATAATATAGTTAGTTTTTCTTACATAACTTTTTAATCTATAGCAGGTGTTAATTTTAAATGTTATAACAATCTCATGATTGTTTGCCAAAAACAATTTTCTTATTGTACATACAAGATCCAAATAATATTTAATACATAATCTATTTTTGTTGTATTTTTGTTTAATATCCATCATAAACCATACATATACGTATGTAGTAGGATACATCTCAACAAAGATATAATTTCTGTTTTATTACAACATAATATAAAAAAATAATTCAAATGCGTGTGTAAATGTTTAAATAAATGAAGGATGTTCACAAGAAATATTCGTAAAGATATATATAATACAGAGGTCAATTTCATGGTTCGATATATAAGCCAAGTCACGAGTATGTCAGCGACAAGATTATGTCTCCCGCCAACGGTCAAATAGAAATGGACCTAACGGAAAATAGGTTAAGTTAGATTAGAAACATAATCCTTACAAAATTTTGCGACCAAAATATTTCTTGTTTCTCTTTTCAATAAAAATCAATCATCTCGTGACAAAAGTCGCACGAAATAACTGTAAGGACAATACAGAAGGCAACCAAGAGATAGATGATCGATATACGCTATGTCACTAATAGATATCGATGCAGTGAATAAGATCGATAAATATAGAGAAATGACGATGTACAGAGGCCCAAACGAGCAAAATGAATGAAGACAAATAACGACGTATACCTGAAAATGAAAAAGAAAGAAAATGGACTGTTCTTACCTATCATTTTCTTCTGTTTCGACGTTCGATGCTACGATGGTTTGTACTTTATTCTTGAAATTCTTCCTCGAAGGAAACAGCTTATCAAACAAAGGCATCATAAACCAACGACCGTTTATAGCTACCGCATTGCTCGTTAACTTTGTTTCGTTTTCGGTCTATCATGTCACAGGGAACTGCACCATACATGTTCGCGAGTATCAGTCAACTGTAAATAAAGTCACGTGCGGAGGAGTCATATGATTGCTCGAGATTATCGTGTATCGTTTGGTCGACATCCGAATGGAATGTTTTCCCGGCTGTTCCCGTCCTCTGCTAACACAATTCATTGGACGAATTGCGGCTCATGAAACCGGTTTGTTGGAATGTCGACAAAAATACCGATAAAGTGATAAGCATGGGAGAAAAAGCGAATTTGTGAAATAGGGATCCGATTACTGACTGCGCACGATATACTTTACTATGATAGAAGTTATATATTGCACCGCGAGAGCGCAGTACTAAGGCAATTAACAAAGTTCTGTTGCGACTACGTTTGAGGATAAGGATTGCAATGATACGTAATTTTTTCTTTTTGGACTATCAAATGATATTTTTAGGTCCTTTAAGTACAATGTAAATATCGCGAAGTTAAATCATGTAAAAGATTTGGGAAAAGTTTATTGAAAAGTTCCAGATGGCTGATTTAAAATAATTAGCTATTCAAAAAAGGAGTTAAAAATGTTTAATATTTACAATTATTATTGCGAGATATAGTAACAAAAGTTGGTATTTTGTACCATCGTAAGTACAAGTAAGTTTGTTGTAATCTATATAACACTATAACGGCTTTTTATTTTCTTTATGTGAACCAAATTCGCATGTTTTTTTAAATTCAATTATATGTTACTTTTCAGATTCTAAGACTCTTTAATTGATCTTTGAAGAGATGTGAAAGGTAATTAATAATTCCAGAGGTAATTCCAAAGGTAATTAATATTTCCAGTTTCCAGAATTGAAATTTAAAATAAAATTATTAAGCTTATACGTATATTTTTCAAGTCAAAATTTATTTATTTATTTATATGTACAGAAAATTTTATTGAAATCAAAAGCCCTGATATGCCATTGTATAATGGATTAAATATTTGAAGCAAGTTTACAAGAAAAATTATATAAAGAAATTTTGATAAAAGAGTAAAAAGATGTTGGTAAACTAATTTTGTAAACAAAAACAAAGACTTTAAAGTTACACAAAGTTTTGCATAATCATTGCGTAGATATCTATTCATAATAGGAAACGCATTCAAATGATATAGTAAATTTATTTCTAATAATGTAAATTGCATATACATCCAAAATCAAATTTCATTTGAGATTTCAATATTCCTAAAAAAATTAATACTTCAAATCGACGAGTTAAATTATTTGAATGAAAAGAATAGAGAAATTAAGTATTGTATATAACGTCTAATTATTTTGCCTCGTAATCGTCGGTATATCGACGTATAGGAACATCAAAATCTACGTTTCTACGCATTTTATTGGCCAATATAAGACGGTGAACGTATTCCGTATCTTTGATATCTGCGGACGTATCAAACGCTCGTTTAATGTAATTTTTATTTGATACCGGCAAATATACCGGATATTCAATATTAAACGATATGATTAGACTTCCTCTTTTCTTCGGACTTTCCGGCAGCGGCAATCCTTGGCCAGGTACGTGTTTCTTGTAATCAGGTCTAATAAGAAAAAAGAAATGTTATGTATTATTTTTATAACCCGCATCAAAATATTTATAAAACATGAAGCAATTAAAAAATAAAAAATGTGGAATAACGAATGATTAATCCTTGAATTTTAATTGTTTTCCAATTTCTATACAGTAATTATTTTCATGATTTTTCTTTTCAAAATGAGTTTTAACAATTACATTTATTTGTAGGATCGATTCTGTGAAACGTAAAATAATTATTCAGTGAATGAAACAAAGAGGAGAAGTAGAGAAAGACTGGATCAGGGGAGGAGACGGTAGACACGTACGTGATGACAGACGTTAGTGGTATTCGAAGGGTTCTGTCGTCGAGCGTGTTGACGGTGACCACTGTTCCGGTCAGTGCCTCTCGCAGAAAGATATCGACCGTCATGTGCAAGTCAGAGCCCTCTCTTCGGAAGGTCTCGTGAGGCCGGTCCTCCGTGATGAAGATTACATCCGCTACGCTGACGTGCTTTGGACTGAGTAAAGATATTATGCGAGCTACTACGATTAACCCATTTCTGTCCGATATGAAATGTACGATGCATTTTAAATGTATCCTTTGCGATATCCGAATCGACATAAGCTAAAAGGTTATAACGAACTTTCGTGAAGAAAGAAGAAATTAGCGATAATTCCATACAATTCGTTCCATACAATACCTCTGAGTATATTTCGAAAGGAAATGAAAATCTTCATTTAACCAGACAGAAATGTTCGAATTATATCTCGTTTATGAAATAAAAACAAAGTTATTTTTCTTTTAATTATTATAAATTTACCAGGAATTTTCGTGGGTCCTTGATCACCTTCCTCTGGGAACACTATCCTCGTTCCCGTCGGAATGCCTGGTTTAATGGGTATCGTTAAAATTTTTTCCTTCGTCACTGTCTTAGTCTTATCGTCCCCTACCAATACTAATCTTTGTATCTTCATTTTCTTTATCCCTCCAAGAAAGACCTATTTATATAAATCAATGAATTTATAGATCTTTCAGAACTAAAGTGGCGGATCATTTAGTTTGATGAGTGTATTTGGCCAAATATATATGTAAGCAAGAAAGTTAATAAGAAAAGTGTTTAGCATAATAATGAATAGTAAACTATTAACGATGGATACAATGGATTTATGAAAATATGTAAGTAAAATAGAATACTGCGACGAGTCGCACGTTGTCTACTCGGCGATAAACATTGAGAGAAGAAAATTATAAATAAATAGAACGTCGATATGATACCTCCAGTAGAGTTAGGTACAAGGTTTTTATCAGAGGTTCTTCCTTGCGCTTTATACCCCGCCCCTCGGGAAATTCGAGCAGAGACGAAGACTGCGTTAGTACGTAGAGTAGATCAGCATAAGGACTTTCGGTACCGAAGAACTCCCTGCAGAGATACTCACGATGAGAAAGATGTGGATAGATCGGATCGTAAATATTCAAAGTTTTCAAGTGCTTGTTAAGTTTAACTGTACACAATTTTAAGTCGTTGGATAAAGTAAAGGATTATCATAATTGATAGCAACATTAAGTATAAGAAAATAGGGGAAACGTAGAGTACATGCAAGCAATATACAAAAAAGCATATGTCTTTGTTGTAATACTTACATTAATTCAATATAATATTTATGTAATGCAATTTTGATGTGTTATCACTAGAAATACCAACAGTTAAGACGAAGTTATTCTTTAGGTATTAAAAAATACCTAATAATAGAATATTTTTATATTTATTCATTCATTACTTTATTACAAAAGAAATTCCATGTTATGTAGTACATTTTTGGTATTATTAATCCATCTGGGACCATGGTCCCTAAATGAGGATTGACACATTTATAAAATCGTAGAAACAGTCATTTTGACTGTTATGATAGTTCTAGTGTTATTTGTTATATATAGTGTATATAGTGTTATAATAAAAAGTAATTATTTGATTAATGTACCTATAGGTTCTCATCGGTTCTCCGTGATAAGTATACGGTTGAATAAATCCCTCGGCTCCAGGCACGCCATTTTTAAGACCTTCCTCGCCGAATTGATCGTATATGGTTCTTTTAAGGGGATCTGAAAGCACATCGTATGCTTCGGCTACTAAGGCGAAAATAGTACATAAACATTCATCTTTCGCTCTTTTAGCGTTATATCGTAGCGCTAAGCGTCGAAATCTGAAAATAATAGTAAGATATTTACATTAGCCAATTACAAAATTAATTATGCATGTATTGAAATACAATTTTTACTTTCATACTAAAAAAATAATTACGGAATAATTTAACTGATTAATATTTTTCAGCCAAAAGTCTGTTAATATTTTACAACACGGAAATATCAATGGATTAATTGATGAAGATGACGGGGAAAAATATACATCATAAAGTAATAAGCTCTTACTCACGCAGCTTTGATCTCCAAATCGTCGCAGTCTTTTTTCAACGATAGTACGCCATAGTAATCTATACCACGTTTATTACACGAACAAGCTTCATCGCATGACATGATATTCCTTATTTTTTATTTCTATCAATACTTTCAAAATTATCCCATTTAAAATTAAAACAAACACTTACACGACTATCTTCTGTTATGAATTCATGGCTGATGTCATGTAAGAAGGCCGAAAAAATAGAAGGGAGAAAAACGTATCGTTTCGCAACGATTTTTCAAGTGTTTTCAACAACCAACGCGCCCCTCTCGACAACGGAGTACAATCTGCACTCGTGTGTTAGCTTTTGTAATTATTAAACGTCTCACGACCGACATTTATTGTTGAACACAGAACCATTATTTAATAGCTATTCATTGGTACTCCATATGAAAGGAAAGGCACCATGGATGCTTCTGAATTGATTTTGAACCTCGTGCAGAAAGGTGAGATACAAAATAAGGATTTCTTTTACGAATTTGATTCTCGTCATTGTTGCCACAATTTTTATTAACGTATAAAAATACAATTAGACATAATACTTATGTAATTTACTTTCAAATAGCCGCCATTACAACTTTTCACGATTTCTTTTTCTGTTTAATTCAACTTGATAAATGATTTCTAATTTTATAAATAAAAATTGTGCGAAAAATATCGATTTTATTAACAAATATCGAAATATTAACAAAACGAAATATTTCTAGCTGCGATTAAAACGGCAGTTAAGGAAAAGAATTTAAGCGACTGCGAACTTTTTTCCAATCGTGAGGATAGTTCATCTTCCGGTCAACATGTAATGAAGAAAAATTCCTTTTCCGGTGGTGTATCCGAAAAATCGTGCGGGGATTGTAAAAAGGAAAAACCTGACGAAGGGATGTTCAAGGTTTCCTTGACGACGAACGATGAAGATTTGGAGAACGATAAGGAGAACGTGTCAAGGAAGAAGATACGCGTGGAGGCGAGGCAGATTTGCAGCAATCGCGAAAATAGCGACGAGGAGAAAATCTTCGTGCTGCAGCAACTCGGTCGATCGCAGATACGTCCAGAAGGATTCCCGGCATTTCTATGCATCGACGGGAGGATTGCCAGTTCAAATGGAGTTAAACGAAAAATCCCACGACCAGCTAACGCTTTTATGCTGTTCGCCAACGAATGGCGTAAAAAGCTCGCTGCGGAGAATCCTCGGGAGTCTAATAAGGACATTAGCGTTAGGCTAGTTTCCCTACATCCATTTTTACATTTGCATCTAGTAATGGGACAAGTTCTTTTATATGAAATATTTTTTCTTCTTCATTAATACACTTGCTTATTTAAACATTTTAACATTTTTAATAATTTAAAAACACAAAGTATACTGTAAATTAGAACATTTTATATCGTGCAGATTAGGCATCCTTTGGAAGAACATGGCGAAAGACGTGAAGGAAAAATACTTTGCCCTGGCCCGGGAAGTGGACGCGGAGCATAAGAGGAAGTATCCCGGTACGCTTTATACCTATAGTCTCTTTTCAAACCAATATGACCTCGTTTTCGCGTTTGTAGCGGCTCGTCGAAGTTTATCGATACGACTGAATGTTCGTGCCCCGCGTTCGGTAGGTACATGATAGTTCCTTGTATCCTTACAAGCACGAAAAGAAAGGGTAACATCAAGGGTAAACTTATCTATGAAATGAGGTAGATGCATGCGCCATACAAAATCAGGTCTGATGATAAACTTGCTAAATATTTCTAAATCCTACAAAAAAAAAAAAAAGAAAAAACTAAATCTGTCCTAAATTTTCCAATCAATTTTTGACGTTCCACTTTTCTTAAAAGCTTCCTTTTTGCCATAAACCTTCAATTTATTTTTATTTTCAGCATCAACCGAGTTCCATATTTTTCCAAGCTTTCCTGGTAATTTTGGCTCGTCCAATATTTTCCGCGAAAAAAGATCGCGCTGGCTTTGCAAAGAGAGAAAATACGAAGCTGCGAATGTGTTAATGATCGACGTTAAGTATTTAAGGAGTTGGCACTGATTTTGCAGTGGGGGACCGCGTGCAGCTAGGCCGCGGAGGACATTTAGTCGCGTGAATGCTCAGTAACGCGAGATATGTGAGGAATAATCGCGCTTGTCGGTGGGTGTAGGTAGTAGGTAGGTAGAGCGCGGTCGTGTATCGGGCAGGTTCCTAGAGTCGCGTCGCAATCAATACCTCCGGTCTCTACTGTTCCCTCCCGCCCGTTCCCCGTCACTCACCCGAGAATATTTCTCCGCCTGCCACCCTGTGCCCTGTACCTCGACCCGCAAAACTCGTATCGCTCTGCTATCCCACCCACAAATCGACGAGCTATAATCGCATTTTAGCTCCCCCGCGATCGTTCGCTCTCCTCTCTGCTGGCTAATCACAGTATTCAGGACGAAAAAGTGCAAGAGCGCATATACGTTCGTTCATCACGAGGACGATAACTTGTAGGAAGAATAGAAATCGGACGAATTATTGCCTATGGCTTAAATATTTTGACAGGAACAGAATTTTGAAATATTCAGAGACAACTCATTTTCTTTTATCTGTTTACATTAAAAACGTAGCTTTTTAAAATAGCAAAAGTTGCGCTTTTTTAAAGGTATATCGTTTCTTATAATTGTTTAGATTATGGATGATTTATATTGATATTCCCATACTTTGTAAAGTCCAAATTTGTACCCATTTACTTTAATTTTGGTAACATGGTATCGAAATCAATTGATTCAGTCTAACTATTGATCATTGATTACGCTGTTTCTACGATTCAGTGCATTGGTATCAGTTTAGTTGCACGAATTGAGTGACATTAGATCGGCTTCGTAGGTATCACAGGATACGAGAGCGTGCATATTCAACTATTGTAACTGTTTTAATTAATAATCCATAAATGCTGTAGATGAACCAATACACTGGGTGCAAATAGTAATTGCATATTAGACAGATCGATCGAACCGATACCCGTTTTACTCTTAACATAATCGCATTCTCTTTCCCATTGTCGTAAATCCACCGCAGAAATTAAAATTCAACGATTGAATGAGACCTCTTCTTTTGAATAAATGCAAGTTCCAATAGCGTTATATATAAAAAAAAAAATTAAAGTTTAAGCATCTCCATAGCATGTGAGAAGAAATGCCTCAACATGTGAAGTGTAACGATTATACGTACAATTGAGCAATTGAAAAATAAAATTTACAAACCACAAGAAAACGATCAAAGAAGAGTTTTAAATTATTCAATTGCATATTAAGGTATGAAAAATGTCTACGTTCAAACAAAAAATTTAATATGTATATATAATATTTTCTATTCTATCTATATTATTTTCCGTTTAATACTCCAATTCTATCTGTAAAATATTTCACAAACAAAGTTTTTATACTATAAAAATTGTAAAAGATCTCGATATTAAAAATTTCTACTCTTTTCAGAATCGAAATTTAACGTGGAAAACCCCAGGCATCAGGACTGGTGACCAAATCAAAGAGAAAAGAGGATCAGGCGTTCTCAGTAAAGGTTCTGCTAACGATAGCCAGCTGCAGCTTGAAAACGCCGAAGGGGTGCAAAGAAGGCTAAATTCACCGCTAAACGGTAGTCGCGCAATCGACGGCGGGCCAACGCGTAGCGAACAAGCCGAGTGGTCAATTAAGATCACCGGAAAGTGTCGATATGTTCTGCGCGAGCGTCCGAGGACGCGGGCAAGCGGACTAGCGTGCATCTGCGCGACTGCATCGTACGCGTGACAAGGAAAAAGAGGGGTGACGCACGGTCGCTCCAAGGGAAGCCGTCAAAATGTCGAGGCTTGTGCATCCAGCGGGCATATCGAGCCAAAGACACGCGGGGGAGGAGTGTCCCCCCTCTCTCTCTTTCTCTCTTCTCTCTGTGTGTAGTGTGTAACGATCGTCGGTCATCGATCCGCCATAGCATCGACGCGATGCTCGGTTGCTCGAGAAAACGAGAGCCTCCCGTCGTTGTGAACGTCACGCGAATTTTCCTTGAAAAGTACGCTCAGGATCGATCAAATGGTGTCTGTCTTATGTTTGATTATGGCTGGAATTTTACAATTAATGACCAGACAGCAGTTAACGATGAAAGTAAACTGAATTAAAATATATGCTTTTAACAGATTAACTCCATCGAGTCTAATCAGTATTTTTTAAATCGTATATTCTAATACTAGAATTGGAAATTTTGGAAAGCGAAATTGATCAGTTTAGTTTTTCAGCGGTTAATATAAAATAAGTTAGGATAGTTATGATCTAAGAGGAGGATAGGACGTGAATAAGAATTCTGAGATTTAGGAAGAGATTATTGCGGCAGAATTTGTAGGGTGACTTCGTAAAGCTTCTCCCAAAACTGTTTGGTATATAACTCCCAAAGAGTACAATAAGTGCTCGTGTAGCGCGATAAAAAAATTACCGCAGACCCCGTATAACAAGGAGGAAGAATTGCTGCAGTCCTCGTAACGGGGTAGATAAATTTCAAAATGCAGCAAAATGCAGGGATCTCCACTTGTGCACGAATTCTCCGGTGGTTAAGTATTTTACAATAAAAAATTCCACACTCCATAAAAAGGTACTCTATTTTCCATTTCTAATAACTTTTTAAATTCCAGCTTATGAATTGCAAATATATCGTCAGTATTTTTCGAACGAAGAAAGAAGAACCAAACAAAATCTGCATTTTAAAGATACCATATCCATTTAACAAATAGTGCATCCGTGGAATTACGTTTCAATCTAAAAAAAAAAAAAAAAAAAAAAGAAGAAGAGAAAGGAAAAAGAGGCGATATGGACCAGCATACAGCAGCCGGAGCAAACGATCCATTTAAAAGGCGAGTTCAAACTCTGGGTAATCGATGATAGTCGCCGAGTGGAGGGATGGTAGCAAGAATAACACGACACCTCGATCAACTGTTCTTTCCTGAACAAAAACACGTTCAATTTCAAGTGAGACGGATCCTCTGACGAACGATTAACGAGAGGAAGCTTGTGCGAATCGATAGGCGGCGAAAAGGGGGTTTCTTGGGATATTTTGCGCACACCGCAGAGACGTTGGAGGCCGGAACTCTTTTCGTTCACCTCGTGGTTCGAACGCTCCTCGCCTCTCCGGGGTAGGGAAAAAGCCACCCTCTTGTTAGACCGAGCCCTCCCCTCTATCCCTCTGGAGCTCCGTCGGATTCGTCGATGACGAAACGCACACGTAAATTCGTGGACGTGCACGGTGCTGCCGCTCGCAAAATCAGTGCGACCCAAGTGCACCGCGAGGCAGGAACGCGGGTCTCCCGTGCGCGGCCTGTCGTTCCCGCTTGCGGCACGCGCGCCTCTTCCACAGGAGCATCAGTCAGATAGCGAGAGACACTCGCGTAAATAGGTCGTTGGATACCGCCGTTGATTCGACAGTAAATAGTCAAGCGAAATTAACGGATAGTGGTGGACGTCTCGAGAGAAGTGACAATGGAAAACGTCAATCGAAAATAAAAGAAGCATATAGTCGATACGAACGTGTAATAGATGCTGACAACTGACTAGAGTGACTAACGTTTAGATTTAGTCGAGGTGACTAAACAAACGTCGTGAAAGAGGAAATGATTGGAATGGAAAAACGATCAGTGCGTTAAACATCGCAGTTTTGCATTGGAGATTAGATGTACGTTGCTGTTTTCTCTTTTTCTGGTGAATCAATCAGTGATGTTGAGTAAATAAAATGTGGATGGATGGAAGAGACTGATTTGTTTAAATGGAAATGAATCTTACATACGACTGTCATCAGGATTGATTAAATGAAGAAAAAATAAATAAACAAATAAAAATGATGAAAAACAGAAGGAGAAGCTGAAACATAGTATGATGAAAGAAATAAAATTGCAGAATATAGATACAGACTTTCCCGTTCAACAGAACTAACTTGATTTCGAAAATAACTTTGGATTGAATTGTCTACGATAAGCACGGAAATAAACCACTGATATCGATTGTCGACAGAGAAACGTGAATTGGAGATGCGTGGCGGTCGAACGAACTAGAAGAGAAAAACGGGCGTGCGGGAGGTGTTGAAAGAAGAGAAAAAGCTTTGAGCATCGATCTTGCGGCTGATGCAGCTACTATGACGCGGGTTGTCCGATACATTCAACTGTATCCAGTGTGGAATCGACGGGTCGCGTGGCCCACGAGACGGGATCTACGGGGCTATAGTTAGTAAGCTAGGCCAGTCTTCGCGAATTGGATCAGTGGCTACGGTCGGTGTAAACGATGACGGCGAGGAGGACGAGGACAACGTCGGCGGGTACGACAATGACGCCACGCGCGACGAGACTAAAAACGCTGGGTCTTCCCGACGGAATGCAGGAGGCCGATCGAACGCCTCCCGATGTACCCTCTTTTTACGTGGTCTTCCCACGTAAACTCTATTCGGTGACGTGTATCATGAAAGAATAAAATTCAAGAAAGATCCAACGAAATTACAAGAAGGGGGAAAAAAGAAGAAAAAAAGGGGCCAATTTTCCGATTCTTCCAAATAATAAAGAAAAAGGAAACAAACAAAAGAAAATAGAAAAGAGACTAAATTCGAAACTCGGTTCGAAGCTTCCGTGGAAAATGTAAATTCGCCTCTGGTTATGTGTTCAAGGCTTACTTGGTAGGATTTAATGTGCAATCGTGGCTGATAAGCTTCGGGAAGTAAAGTCGTTCTTTGCGGCGCGATAAGGACCACATTGGTCGCAAAGATGGACTGCTGCAACTACGTCGAGGCTTACGCGGCAGGGAGCCACTTTTATCAACAACAACATTACTTTTGCTATGATAACGCGAACACCGATTACGGTGGCTATGAACCGCCGCCGATTTCCAGCGCGATCGAAACTACTGCGCGATACAACGGGACTGTACCACCTGCGTATCCGACAGGTAGATGTTTTAGAAATTTTCAACAAGCACGGCCAATTTTATTCTTCGTTTAAAACATTCGTTATATCTCTTTAGACTTGACAATTGTTTTAACACTTATTATATTTCCTTAGAGCTGTCGATTATTTCAAGTGGCTCTTGTATGTATAGATTGTCTTTTGGAGAAGAATTATGTCAGTATGAATGCGTCATTAAAATTGTAATAGTACTGATAGAAATTGATAAGATTAAATTCAATTTAGGTGTATCGTGTTTTAAATTTGAAGTTGAGAATGTTAGAAAATACAGTAATAATAAGATCTAGCGCGCCTGCGTGGAAACTACGACAATAAGTATTATAGAAACATTGCTTTATACGGTACTGTCTTCAAATATCTTATATTTCTACATAGTTAAAAGTATTTTATATTCTTTTATAGCAAAGTAACTGAAAATATGATGGTATCAATGTCAAAGGAGTAGTATATTTATAACACAAAGTTCTATAGTAGTGAATTATTGAAAATTCCAACAGTAGTTCTTTAAATAAAAATGAAGAACCTGCATTTATTCAGGGAGAGGCTAAATCTTGTATGATTTGCATTTCTTATCTAGTTCTTCGGGTGGCAATGATATACAGAGTGACTCAAAAGTATTCATTCATTATCATTACTATTTCATCATTTCACATGGGATATTGTATATATCTATACTCGATACTTCTCATATAATTTCATATTTATACTTACAAAAAATAACTGTCCATGCGAATTAAAATTTATATATAATAAAATTTATTTATGTGAAATAAAATAAAATTATAATTTCTGTAATAAATAAAATTGAATACATTCACCTGTTTGACAGATTACGTGTATAATCCGAAGGAGGCGAGGCTGCGGAAGGCGATGCGCGAACAGAGTCGCGAGCTATCCAGGCGATCGATCTTGCAGAGCGCGATCGCTCGAGCGGGCGTGATCGCTGGTCCAGTCACATCCGGCGGTTTCCTAGATCATCAGCATCGTTTTGGTTGCGTGTCCACAGTCAACTTGCCTATGAATTCATCCGTGGAATCGGATCGAGCCACGGAACCGTGGTTCCAGTCCACGTCTCGTCCAAAGCCGATCCATTCGCCCCGAATGACCGATTGGTACGGCAACGTGACTGATCCTATCGAAAGACTGCAAGTAATGGGTGCGATGCATCAGCGTGGCCTCGATAAATGCAAAGACGTGATGAGGAATCAGGCTGCGGCCAGCGTAACCAATACCGTGGCCGCTGAATGCGGTGCTACATTTTCAAATAACGGATATCCGGTTGATTTCACCGATGTTAGTCGGGAAAGGGACTTACGCCGCCAAGAGAATATGGAGTACAGCGAATTTCCTGATAGTCAAAAGTGGCATCCTTATCAGGTGAGGATTGTTTCCGGAATCATCTGGAAAGAAAGTTATGTAATTTTAAAGTTTGTCAGGAGTTAGGAGTTTTTAATATTTGGTAGCTTCGCAGAATTTTAATTGATAAAGTACATTAATGTTATTTGTCTTCTCGCAGAAATCTGTGAAGTATAAAATGATTTTAGAATTCTTCTACCTCTTAAAAGCTATTTTTTCTATTTAATATCAAAATATATTGATATACTTCTTTTGTTTCTTCTCTCGTAGAAATCTAGAAAAAATCTTCTACATAGATTTCTCAATCCTTCTTTTTAAATGATATATTTTCTTCAAGAGTTTCTACAAATCATTGCAGAATGGCGAAGGTGCTCATCAACATCCCAGAACTTCTCATCCTTCTCAGATGAGCAACATTCTTCACCCAAACATTCAGAGTCCAGGTTCACACGGACACGAACCATGGGGTCAATTTTGTCATGGCGTGCTGCCACGTAAGTAAAGATAAAATCCAATAGAACGTTTAGAAAACTGCCGGAGAATGTATTATTTTCTAATGTAATTTTATAGACACTCCGCCTATGCCTCGAAACGTTGGAGTCCGTGGGGCGCGACACACTCTGCTGTTACAGGATCGCATGCCCCCTAGACACTGTGAGTTTTCCGAGGAAGCACCGCGAATGATGTATCATCCAACTAAGCTCGATATCGAGAACGTACGAGCATCGTACACGCCCTCTGAACACCAGGTTTCTCCTTTTTCTAATTTATATGTAAAATATAATACGTGCCGCTCGGAAAACAAACTTTAACTAGAGACCAAAGCTAAAAATTTTACATTATACTACTGTAAATTAAAGAACGTAAAGAAATTTGTTTTGTCTCATTGACACACAGAAATGCAGTAATTTCTAGATTTTTACAGAGAACTGTTTCATTTTGTTATACACAGGAATTTTCATCTAAACTTAATACGTAATAACAATAGAAATATTTTCTAGATGCCGAGATTACTTGAAACCTCAGTAAATTCTATCGTGGATTCTGCGTCCACAATAAGGATTCGTCGTGAGGATGATGGCCCCAGGTGGGAGCCAAGCACTATGAATAACAGAATGTCTATGGATAATCTAGTTCCAACAACGGTATAACATTCATTCCACTAAATTAATATTAACCCCTCAGTCTTTATAAGTGAGCCTCTCAAAAGTCAAACTGATTAATTCTATTGTCTGTCAATATTTTAACTTTATTAAGTCGATATTCAAGAAACAAATTACTACTCACTTCCACGAGCGAGAGACCATTGAGAGGCTCAAATACTATATAATTCAATAATTTACTAAATATTTTGAACCATCAGGAATCTAGTATATCACGCGATAAAGAACACGAATCTCGTCGATCAGCTGAAAGATTCGAGCCAAAGAAGAAGAGCGTCAGTAAGCAACCGTTGCCTGGTTTTCACCAAGCATTCGGTTCGACGGAGATTGGCAGGTTCTCCAGATCGGAGTTTTTCGTGAACATGGTGGGCGAGAGCGGCGGAAACATGGAAGTCGCCGACACGGAAAGTATTACCGTAAGTACGGATCGTATGTCAGAGGTAAACGGATCGACAGTGACCACTGCGACGCACGGTACGTCGGTAATTACTACGACCGCGACGACGACCGTTAGGTCTTTCGACGGCGACGAAAGCGAGGAGGCAAGTTTCGACGAGTCGAACAACGACCTCGTCGCTCCGACGTCGATGGGTATGTATTGCAGCCAACCAAGTATTCCTCGTTGGCATAGACCTCACATAGGCGCTATAGGTAGCGAAATTTAAAGCAAATCATCAATTCTTTCGCGGGCTAACGTGTTTCCCAATTGAAAGTCTGATGGAAGGGAACTATGTAATTCTAATCATTTTCAAAAGTGCGAGTATGCCACTGGAGCATTTTCTCTCGCAATTTTCTTTCTGGATACAGTGGTTTATGAAAGAATTTTGAACTGTTGCGTCCAAAAGAACGAAGGAAGAGCGACTGAACAAATCTCTACATTATGTGATGTATACGTAGATATTTGCAAAACTTGATCAAACGTATTTTCAACCTTGTGTGTATGATTCAATTATGAATGGAGTTGCTCTTTGCCATGGAATTTTTTTACGAGTCTACGAATGCTGCGTTTATTTATAGATTCTAATTAGCCCCCGAAAGGAATTAGCAATTCATCAAGGACGCGAATTGCGTCCAGTTGTCTGTAGGATTAAATTATTCCCTCCGATGTTCAAGTTACCCGATAATATTCTGTACGTGGAGAGAGAATCGTCTGTTATTCGTAATTGATAACTCTCAGCTAACTTGTTCGAATCGATTTCGCGAGTAAGACAAATTTCTCCAATTTGTACAAACATTACGCGTTAGACTTTGACTCGCCGGGGAATATAAATGGCGTACGAAACATCCCGGCAAACTGCACACACGTTTGTCGAGATTGTGCCTTTAAGAGATCTGTGGAGCTATTAAAGGTCTTCAAAATTTTTGATCGAATCAAAAATATAAAATCAAAAGCAGCACGATATTCGCGGGTCTCGTACGTCAACTATTAAGTTGAGCAACTTACATCGATGTATTATATTGAAAGGCTAGAAATTTTGGCGAAAGAGATATCTCATATCATCTTTAAAAACAAACGACCTTTTTCTTCGACGCGAAAAGTATTTCAAAAATACTAAATATTGTTTAAAGTATTTTTTTTAATAGCAAATTTATTCTGATAACACAAAGACGTTGTAAAATATAAAGAATTTTGTGGGTTGCTCAAACTTGGTAAAGAAATATAATCAAAATGTGTCGATGGAAGTATTTAATCGGCACCTTCCATCAAGTTGTTAGATATCGCCGATGATACACTGAGATTAGTGTACCGACGATGAATTATATGATTATATTAAATATATATTTAAAAAAGTAAATATATATATATATATACATGTATATATATATATATATTGTACTTATATGTATAATGGAGGAACGAAAACGCGCGACGAAAAGGTATTTAAGTTATTTAGTAGAATATTTAGACGACACGTATTGCTGCGCGGAGAAACGTATGAATAAAAGTGAACATTAATATCGCGAACGTAGGAAGTCGAGAAACCGACGAAATACACACCGTTCCGCTATTGAAAAATATGTTTTTCCTGAGGGGGATGCACGGTATTTTTGCATTTGGAACTCCTTTTATTTCTTCACTGCAAAATAATATGAAATATTTCAAAAATACAAGAAGACAAATATCGCAACTTCGGTATGTTAATGCATTAAAAGATAAGGAAAAAGGTTGGATTGTATAAGAGAAGTTTGTAAGTTAAGACTGTAGACAGTAAGACTGTAGTTATAATGTAAACTCAAAAATATGGCATGTAATTTATTGAAACTTTTTTATATATCCATTTTAACGTACGTTTAATATTCGATTTATTATAGTAACTTTGGGACCTTTGGAAAATATACCTAGAAAGAAAAAATGTTTTTAGAATCTACGCATTAACGTTCTGACAAGTGCGATATTGTATAGAAAAATGCAAAGTTCACCTTATTAATTATGTTCTTCTTATATGTGACATTCATACTTTTGCTGTTCAATTTCTATTTCATTAGAACTTATGTTTCATTAAATTTAAAAATTGTTCTCATGTAAGAAACGATCTTCGATATTGTCTTGAGTGAGAATGAAATATTTTTTATTATTTCTATTTTTCTTTTCTTTTCGATCGAGTTCTGAGTCCCGTGCAGGCACCTATGACTCGTGTTGATTGATCTATCGGTACATCGACTTAACATAATTCGTGCCAGCTACCCTGTACCTATAATGGGACCAAATTAAAAGAGAAGCTTTTATTTCGCGTTCACCGTCGCGCTTACGTCCCGCGTATTTTATCGTGTATGAAAACCTTCCCCCGTTCCGTTCGATCGATTGCCTCGAACAAGAGGCAAAAATTTGTATTGAAACGTGGAATGTTCTTTAACACGTTCGATGTTATTTCAAGCAAATGGTTATTAACGATCTATTTAAAAATTGCACTGAATTGCCTTCAATTATATTTCAGTCTTTTATCTTCAACTGTACCAAAATCAATGATAGAAATTAGAATTTTTAATGTAATGAAGATAACTTTAAATGTAGAAATGTTTAATTTTTTCTTTGCCTCGAATTCTGTAAATTTTTTTTTCTAACGCTATTTTAAATTGATTTGCGTACTAAGATGCTTCATTTACCATGACATGGAGCGTGTTAATTGAAAATTCACGTGAAAGTAAACGAATTCACGAGGAACGTGTTGTGCTGTTTAGCAAGATGAATTAGTGTTCCATCGATCAAATACATTGTTTAAATATCGTGTGATCATCGTTTATAATGAATATCGTTCGAGCGTAATAGAAATACTTAACGATGGTAATTCAACATTCGACTTTTTTGTTCTTGGACGTATAGAAACGTTCAAGAAGCATGGAATGATGTAAATGCTGTGATTTGTTTTAAAATTAAACGAGCGTAGTTTATAGTGGTACACAGTGGGGGAACGCTGAATATCGTCGCGACGTGAGGAAAGGCGAGTTGTGATAAAAAGAGAAAAAAATTCTGTAAGAAATTTTGACGATACACGTAATTGTCTGTCTAGTACGATCGATCATCGGGGCCCTCTTGCACAATGAAACTAATGTTATTAGCGGAATTTTACAAGTTATCGGTGTGGATAAATTCTTTAACACAGTAGCAACAAGATTTGTGTTAAAACGAGTAAAGTGTCAATTTTGCAAATTGTAAGCCAATCAATTGCCCTACTTGACGTAATGCTATAAAAGTATGCAACAAAAGTTTTTAATCTTTACAACTTATCACTTGTAAGTTCGCTAATGTTATTGATTAGATTATCGTGCATGAGAGCTCAGTTGTTTTAACTTTTGGATTATTAGTAAGAGCACAAACCACTCCAACGAGGTCCAATCTTTCGAAACGTTTCGTCATTAAAGAAATTTAGGGATAGTCGAAGAAAAATCCTTTCGCTGTGCGGTGTATACTTCCATAATTTATTTCACATTTTAACTCTTCAAATTTTATTAATGTAAGATATTTATATTTATTAGTATAAATATGACTACGAAGAAATGCAGCGATAGTAGGGGGAGGGGAGGAGGAAATCTTTCACTATATTATTATACGTCTGTATAATGAACTTCAAGTTCGAACAGCGATAAAAGATGGACCTAATACAGCAGGAAATTGCCAGCATCTCGTGGATGGAACAAAAGTTAAGACAACCGAGGAAGTTACTTGGATTCTATCACGCCAACCTCGTCGTCTCCAAAACGTGAATCCTATGACGAAATTTTAGCGATGCGTTAATTACTTGGAAATTTTAATAATTTTGTTACTTTATTGACTTGTCTTGTTGGCGATGCAGACTGTAACATAGAATTATGACTTACACGTCTTACGATTAAGGACGAATAAACCATAATCCACGTTTCATTATTGGCAACGATATTAAACGTAGAGGTAGAACTGGTAAAAAAGAAGGAGAGGAGGAGGAAAACAAAAAAAAAAATGTTCAGTCAGTGATAGAAGAACAAAAAGAAAGGAAAGAACAACGTGAAAATGATTGCGACTAACAGGAAAACGTAACCCGTATTATAACTCGTAAACGACTTTCTGTCTAATTATTAGCTAATTATTATCATTCTAACCGGTAGGAAACCGTACTAAGGGATTGAAATGTACAGAAAAACGATTACGAACCACCGTACATCTCTTAAATCCTACAAGTGCCAAGTTGGTGAGAAAAGTCCTTACAAAGGCTCGTGTTATTAAGTATCAAATTCGAACGCAAAAAGGAAAGAGGTATATTTCGCGAATATTTAACTCTATCAGTTTTCATGTAATTAGATTAGAGTTCAATTCAGGTTCTTGTATTATCAGAACGTCGGTGGCTCGTTGGTATTCACGATGTGAGATATAAAATTCGAGATACGTTTCATTTAACATTGATTCGAAATGAAATTTATTAAAGAATAGAACTGATAGAGTTAACGCAGACAGAATGGAACTTAATGATGACGAACATGCTTTTATTCGCGTACAATTATGTACATGGAACTATAACAATACCGGTATTATTGAGCTTAAATTCACTTTTAATTCGAACACGTTACCAGCTTAAGGAACGAAGTTCTTTAATGAGATTCGACAGAAAAATAATGAAAATGTTTAAATGAAGATCGAGCGTAAGCAGTGTAACGAAAATAAATGGACGTCTATACGACAGTATAGAAGTAAAAAAAAAAGGCAAAAAAAGAAAATTATGAAATTATGAAGTCTGTTTTATTTTCCTCAGTTACTCCCGAAGACTTACCTCTCCACTCCTGTTGCCTTTCCTTTTTCATCGAGATCCTGTGGGATCCTGGGTACCTCGGCTGCTATTCATAGAATCACGGAAAGCAGAGAAATTTTGTCGCGAATCATGCAGGAGGAATGCTGCTGGTTCGCCACTCAATCCAGATGTTCCAGGATTTCGGATGACGTCGTGGTAAGTATGATTCGATGAACTGAAACTTGAATCGACAAAATAAAATAAGTCAGATTTGCGAAATAAAAGTTCTCTTTAATGCGAAAAATATTTTGCAGACAAATGAGACACGTAGAAGATAAATTGGTCAACTTCATTCAAAGTAATCGTTTAATCTTTGCATAATTAAACTAATCACATACATACACTCTGGAACTAATACAGAGAATCTTTTGAGATGTAATAGTTGATCATTGGCTTCTTAGTGACTCAAATATCAGATATATATAGTATTTATACAAAATGAAATTAGTAGACAAATATCAAACATCTATATAAAATGTTAATTTAGTGGACTCATTAATTTTGTCACACACTTTGGTCTTATTTTTACCTATAAAACTTGCTAACAAGATGCTTATAAAGAGAGACCTAAGTCTTCCTAATTTAGTATAATCAATACAATTTTAGTACAAATTAAAAATGTTACTACAAAAAAATCAATTCGCCTAAAACCATAGAATTGCACGGCTTTTCTGGACTGCTCTCATCACGCAAGAAATAAAGAGTGGTACTGTCAAAACAAAACGATGACCCATCCGTCGGAAGTGCTACGTCAACGAGAGAATTACGACTCTTTTGTCAACGAAAGAGGTGATGGAGGCTACGTAATAATCGGCACATCTGCCGATGGAAATCGAAACAACAGCAGTAGTACGGAGGACGATGAATATGCTAACGAAACTCGTAAGCAAATGACTTTGAAGCTGGAGAACACTGGTACTCCGAAACGTTCGAGCTTTACTTCCGAGAAGGACGATGGAAACGTTTGACAAGATTACTTTAGAGGTCATAACGTTTTATAAAGAAATATCAATCTTTATTGGTAAGAGTGACATTTCTCGAAAAATATAGAATTTTTGGAAAATACAGGAAGACAGTGAACAAGTGGTTAGAAGGATACTGTTTAGTTCCTGGCTATTAAGGAATTATAAAATCGTTTCTTTTAATACGTTCTACTCTTAAATAACTTTCAGTATATTAATAATTTGGAAATATTAAAAACAATACGTGTACCATGTTCTCTTGTACATTCGTCTTAAGTTGACAAAAATATATTGTTCGTAAATTGAAAGAGCGTCATAGAGTATCATTCTTCGATTGTACTATGGAAGCGTAATTAATTAATCTTTGCAGGAAATATAATATGAAGCTTTCGCAAACAAATCCAGTCAGCTCCACATTTTGTCGATTCTCTAATTTCATTAAGTACATAAGTACAGCATTAATGTTCAATTCTGAAGAAAAAAATGTCAAAATAAACTTAAGAAATAGTTTTCGCAACATTGTCACCTTTTCTAGGCTTCAATTTATGAAGTTGATCAATGTGGCTTCTGAACAGCTCGTATAATGAATTACTATACCGTTGTGAATAAATTCTTTTACAAATAGTTAATTTAATACTCGACAATCGTACGTGTGCATATTACTTATCTTAAAATAAAAAATAATTACTTTTCTCTTAGATATCTTCGTCCCTTGACTAAAACTAGCGAGATGGTTTAAACGTGTAGGTTGTTTGATAAGAAACGAGTGGATGAATTTGTAATAGTCGGTGTATTAAAATTCGTATAAGTAGAAGAGATAGTGTGCGTCAGTTCTAATCGTCGCTCGCTCAATACTCTTATGCCGATCGCAGAAAGGATAACAATTCGCCTGTCCCAGGGAGCACGTTCATACATTTATATCGATGGACGTTACCACAAAAAATTAAAAGTTACAGTTCCTATGACTAGACTTTGTAAAACAATCGTTAGGATTCAAAGGCATTGTAATATGGGTCTCTCCCAGATTCGAATTTACCGTTGACTTTTTCTACGCTCATGTGCCGCTACACTAGGATTAAGATTAATTCCACTATGTATTTTAGAATGAATTCATCCTCGAATTTCATTCGTCAAACGAAAGAAAAGGAAAAGCGTTGTTCGAAGCTGTCGGTGACCGGTAAAAGGAATTGATCGCTTCCGTTTGCGTGTAAGGATTCGGTAGAATGCAATTTGTAAATAAAGGAACAAAGACCCATCCGTGGATGGTTTATCACGGTGATCGTAATCGTGGATGTTTGTTGTAGATGAGCCAGGAGAAGGCGGCATTCTTCAAAAGCGATGGACGAACATCGTGGACCTCCCAATCCGTCAGGTGAGCTACCTAAACGGCAGGTAGTGACGGACAGGATATCCATATCGTAAACGAGTCGTACAGACGTTGAACATCTTGTAAAATTTTCGAGATAAAACGTCTCTTTTTTTTTTATTGCCACCGTTGATGCATCTGAAACCCGGAATTGCAACTGTGAGATGTAGTATCGGTAACTTTTCTGTTGTTTAATTAGACATAAGGCGTAATAAAGCTATAAAACGATTATAAATAGGAATTAGTAACGCAGAAATGCGTCATACTGGACGTTTTAGCAAATACTTAATTATTTACAAATTTTTTAGTCTTTCCAGATATTACGTTTGAAAATAATTCTTGGGATCCTGCACTGAAAATGGGAGATTTCTTCTCTAATTTTTGGTATGATTATTTTACCCATGGTAATTAGTCTTGTGCGTCCTAATTTCAAGGAATATCGAAATTATTCGCCGCTTCTTTAGCGCGTGTAAATATCAATTTTACAAACCGAAGGAAGATTTCTTCTTTAATTTTTGGTATAAGAATCATCTTCATTTCTGACCAAGGATCCACTGGAATTATTCATAAATTTTCTTATTTATGCGCTCAAATTGTTCAATTATTATTCAAGTTTCTCAGTAGTTGAAATAATTTATCATTCTAGGTAGAAAAATGGAATATTTCTTTGAACTTTGGCACAGAAATTATCTATCTTACGCGTTCCAATAATCCAAAGATCTTCGATAATTTTAGAAATATTAAAAATGTTCAAAATGGCAAAACTGCAAATGGAATATCCGTTCCTCGCCTCTGTTTGAAAGTCGGCGTCACATGGCATCGATTTTGCTAATAACCGAAGTGCACAGGCAACCGTTGAACAAATTAAGGATCGACGATGGCTAGATGGTGTTCGTTTAACAGAGATAACTTCTCCGTTACGTATTTGGTGGCTTCGCTGCGCCGATATCGCGACTTTTCCCTCCACAAAATTACTAGGACAAATATCAGTCAGGGCTGAATGGTTACTTTACCAGCCAAAACCGCGCACGATAGCAAACAAGAAACGGTCCTGCTCAAATATCTACTCGCGATACATAGGCCAGTCGGACGTAACTTGCTGTTGATTTTTGTCATTTGACTCGAAATGGTCAGTCAGACTGTCTGTCCATCGAAATGGTTAACTGTTTCGCCTTGCAGCTACGTTCCTCTGACATTTTCCAGAAACGAATAATTCTCAACAAAAACAGCTGCGCTTATTAGTAGATAAGCCCCATTTAAAAAGATAAAAAAATATTTTAAACTAATATTTCTTTTGTAAAATGGAAATGAACAAGCTGACATGTACTACACCGATGATTCAACGAATGGTAACTACATTTTGTTTAACAACCTTCTAATTATTCTAAAACATAATTACCATTATGTAGCTTATCTTATTTCTTCTTTTCTTCAAACAAATTGTCGATGGTGTTGTTCAGATAAGTGTCGCCGAACGTCACAATCTCGAGTAACACATTGATATTGTAACACGTTGGAAATCCGGAAGACAAATACCACGATGTTCTTCAAATCCGATTATCATCTTCGGACTCCTCGTCGATGATTCTTGATTGATCTATTTAATCGGCGCTTATTTTTCCGGCTGCACTTGGATCATAGAATTTCAAGAAAATATCGGCAGACACCTCGTGAAACCCGTGAACCATCGCACGATGAACGAGCAAACAAATCTTACGATGAAGAAAGAGAGACCGATGCGTGGATCGCAAGCTCCAGGTGATCGGAACGCGCGTACCAGCGAAGACGACTGTCGACGACTGTCGCGTGGGCGGACTGGCAAGCCTCGTGCTTTCCAGAGGATCGACCAACCGTTGTGGAATCGTAAAATGGTCCCGTGCATGGATTGGCTGAGGAAACGTAGGAAAGGCGGCAACCAATGTCCTCTATCTTCGAAAAGAATCTAACCGCCAGTGAAATCGCTCTGACG